AAACCATTTCAGGTGACTACCTCTTGAAGCTCATGGAGAGAATGCCAAGAGTGTGCAAAGCAGTAATCAGAGCAAAGGGTGGCTATTTTGAAGAAACTAGAATATAAAACATGTTTTCAGTTATTTCACCTTTTTTTGTTAAGTACATAACTCCACATGTGTTCATTCATAGTTTTGATGCCTTCAGTGAGAATCTACAATGTAAATAGTCATGAAAATAAAGAAAACGCATTGAATGAGAAGGTGTGTCCAAACTTTTGGCCTGTACTGTATATATAGGTAGTGCCGAAAAAATACACAGTATATACTGTGTATTGTTTTTCGGCACTACCTTGTTCTCTATAGCTGATGTAAGGTGAATTACTCCTGTGTGGGATCAATAAAGTTCTTAGCCATCTGAGAAGATCAAATACATTGTTTTTGGTGCCTAACGGTTTCCCAAGTATATTAGTGTGTGTGTGAATGAATAAACGAGAGCCATTAACGTAAATTTCTTTGTAGAAAGGCGCTTTATGAAATGAAGTCCATTCACTTGTATTAGTTTACAGCGCAGCCTTGCCACATCCAATATGGCGGCGACGTTGACGTATCGCAGCAGTGGGCAAACCCACTCGATGTGGCGTCTACGTATATATGTCTATGTTTGGGACTACCAGTAACAATAGTCTGTAGTTTGGTAATTAATGTAGCAGTATGATAGCCGCCATTACAGTGGCTTAGTGTGTATCTGTAAATGCACTGGAATAGATCCTCATGGTTTCCTTACCTGCCATCTTTAGCCTAGGAGATAGGATAAAGGAGATAGGAAAGGGTGGACGCTTAAGGAGTTAGGGAAAGGCAACAGCTAAGGTAAAAGAGTGCCAAATAAATAACAGTAGCAAAAAGGAGGAGGGAAACTGTGGCTAGACTTAATATTTACACCAGCCACTTCAGCTGAGCTAATTGCTATCTGTGTGTGTGTGTGTGTGTGTGTGTGTGTGTGTGTGTTATAGATAGTTCCACATACACTGGACCCAGCTGCAGTGAGTGATGTGGAGGCTGCCAGGGTTGGATTACAGCCTGTCAGAGACTGGAGAGCCTTTGGTCTCCAGGGCTACCCAGGTAAACACAGAAGTAAACTCAAATACAAAGGGTTCAACACACTCTCAGACCAAAATTGGATGCAGTTTTAAAAAGTGACACAAAGAAAAAAAACACACAAAAAAGATGTGCGGCAATCAGAGGAAAACACAACATTTTGTGTGATTGTGTTCTGCCAAGATCCTCCAGAACAGATTCAGTGCTCCTTATCATTAGCCCTTGTTAGACAGAGATCCAATAAAGAGCTGCTACAAAGTCCCTTCTTCATGCCGCCTTTGCATTTTTATACAGAACCAAACAACGGCAGCATCGTGCAACTCCAATGTGTGATTTCAGACAGCATGCCAGCATCACAGAATCAAAAGACGCGTGACAAGTGTGACATCTAACACAACAGTGTTGGCCTTTAGTGTGAAATATAACATACGTGTCAGCAGCACTTTATAATCAATAACAATGGTATTAATATGGCAATAACAAGGGGCTATAGATTCTCCAGGTATGTGGAACTCTTCAGGAACGATGAACAGCATTCTTCCAAAAGATATTTCCTCATTTGGTGTTATGATGATGTTGGTGGAGAGCAGTCTAACACGTCGCTTCAGAGTCTGCCATACAGTTGCAGTCAAAATTATTCAACCCCCATTGCATATTAGGCTTCTTGGCAAAATGTACAATTTTTCAGCTGTTTGCAATAAACAAAGTAGAAAAGAACAGTTGAAATAGTTTAATAAAACTAATATTACCATGGTTTTTATCCAAATTCAACACAAAATGCTACTTTTAATCACTACTGCAGTCTCAAAATTATTCAGCCCCCTGTCTCAAGCACACCTGATGCAACTAATCACAATTATTCAACCCCCTGTTTCAAGCACACCTGGTGCAACTAATCAAGGGCTTCATTAGTTCAGGTGTGCTTGAGACAGAACACATAAATACCTGGACTGGCTAGGGTTTTGTTGAGAGTGACGTTTGATTGCATGTTAGAAATATGGCTAAGTCAAAAGAATTGTCCAAAAAGTTCAGAGAAGAAATCATTGCCTTGCACAAACAAGGAAAGGGATACAAAACAATAGAAAAAGCTCTGAATGTTAGTATAGCATAGTTCGCAATTTCAAAGTTAAAGGAACAGTGGCTACACTACCTGGATGTGGCAGAAAGAGGAAACTATCAGCAGCTGCCACCAGATTCCTGAGGAGGCAAGTGGTCAAAAACCCTCGAGTGACTGCAAAACACCTGCAGCAAGACTTGGTGGCAGCAGGCACTGAGGTTTCAGTTTGTACAATAAGGTGCATACTAAACACTGAAGGGCTCCATGCCCGGACTCCAAGACGTACACCACTGCTGACCCAAAAGCACAAGAAAAGTCGGCTCCATTATGTTCAAAGCCATATAAATAAGCCACAGAAGTTTTGGAATTCTGTTCTGTGGAGTGATGAAACAAAACTGGAACTTTTCGGGCCTATGGAACAGAGGTACGTCTGGAGGAAGAAGAATGAAGCATATGCTAAAAGGACACCCTGCCTACAGTGAAGCATGGCGGTGGCTCAGTGATGCTCTGGGGCTGCTTTGCTGCCTCTGGCACTGGAAACCTGCAGCGTGTGGAGGGCACGATGGATTCAGTCAAGTATCAGGAAATCTTAGGTAAAAACGTCATGCCGTCTGTGAGGAAGCTGAAGCTTGGGCGTCATTGGACCTTCCAGCAGGATAATGATCCCAAGCATACCTCATAGTCCACCAAGGCTTGGTTTCAGAAGAAGAAATGGAAGATTCTAGAGTGGCCATCACAGTCGCCTGACTTGAACCCCACAGAAAATCTCTGGTGGGATTTGAAGAAGGCGGTTGCAAAACGCACACCCAAGAATATTACTGAACTGGAGGCCATTGCCCATGAGGAATGGGCTAAGATTCCTCAGGAACGCTGTCTGAAGCTGGTGTCTGGCTATGCATCACGTTTGCAGCAGGTCATAACAGCAAAAGGGTGCTCTACTAAGTACTGAAGATGCTTGTCATGAAGGGGTTGAATAATTTTGAGACTGCAGTAGTCATTAAAAGTAGCATTTTGTGTTGAATTTGGATCAAAACCCTTGTAATATTAGTTTCATTGAACTACTTAAACAGTTCTTGTGTAATTTGTTTATTGCAAACAGCTGAGAAATTGTATATTTTGCCAATAAGCCTAATATGCAATGG